CGATGTCCCTCACCAGTTCAAACAGCCGCAACAACAGCAACAGCAGCGGCAGTTGCAGTTGAGTCCGGCTTACAGCATAGTTACGGATAGCTTGAGCCCCGAACAACCAAGCACACAATCACACCTTGATACCAACGAATGCACGCATGGCGCCACAGCGCGTCCTCCAGGGCACCGCGCAGTTCCAACGAACGTGTCGTCCAAGAAAGCGAAGATTGCTTCCCCTTCTCGGAGTCCTCAAAGCCGCATGTTGCGAGAGAGAATAGATCGCTGGCATCAGCGGATCGCCTTGTTCTCCTCCTTCGCCTTGCGCCACATCATGTTCGCCGCCGTTGTCGTCGGGTGGGCGCCCGCTGGAACGCTCAGGCCTGCCGCTCCGTGCAAGACCTGGTGCGTGTAAAGACCTACCGCGACGTGCCAGCCGTCCGTACAGCGGCGACAGCGACCTGGGCGAGACGTTGCTGGAGCATGATGCTCTTTGTTGCGGTGCAACAGGCCGTGGCCAGTACGGCTCTGGGAGGCGCCTAGCTGCAGCCACTGCAAAGAGAGGCCGGCCTTGCGCCCTTCGTGAAGGACCGCGGCGGGCCGCGCCCCGGCGAGCAGTAGCTCGGTAGGACGGTAAAAAAACACCTTTCGGCAGGCGGAAAAAGGTGTGGGTGGAGAAAAAGTTGGGAACCACGCATAGTCCTGCTACGGCTCGTCAAGCTCTGTCCCGGTGCGGCCGGGCCTCCCCTGTACCTTTTTGCCTCGGTTCGGGTCGGTCGCGTGCCGCGAGGCCCCTTGCCTCGTGGAAGACGTGCGTCACCCGGCCCCCCGACCCCGTAACTCAATTTTTGCGAGGCCGGTGTTTGCGCACGGGCGGCGCTGGCAACCCTGCTGTGTGTGTCGACATGGCGGTGCGAAACACGCGACATAGGATCTGGCTGGCCGCATCCGCCAACAGCGCCAATTCGTGCTCCCCCCCTGCTGCGATGCAGCGCGGGATTTCTTCTGCAGCAACCGTCCACACGGGAGGAGGCGCCTGGCATAGTGCTGGGTGTGCCCGGCACACAACCACCAACAAACCGCTTAAAAGGACGCCCACGCACAACCACCCCCAGCAAGGGGAGCAAGGCCCCCCACCCGGCGCATAGTACTGCGGAGCGGTTCCGACGCAGGTGAGCGCGCGGCTTGGCGGCAGGAGTGGGGCAATAGGAAACCCCACACCCTTCAGGAACTCCGGTGAGAGTGCTGTACAAAACAGAAGCAAGTACAGATACAGCTCGCCGCGCCGCATTGACCAACCATCGCAGCGATGTGAACGGCACGGCCGAAGCCATCGGCGCAGGCCCGCTGTGGCCAGTAGGCGCGAAGCGGCCTGCGTGGGTGTCAACGGCGAGGTGCGCTCCGCCCCTCAGCGGGAGTCCGTTGGCGATGACCTCGATGCGGCGGTCATCGAGGCGCTCGGGGTGGATGTGCAGGTCACGAACGAGAACATTGCAGGCAACAGTAGCCCCGGCTTCGCGGCAAACCCGGGCAGCAGCACGCTCGAGCGGGAGGCCACGGGAGCGCAAGATGCCAGAACGGGGGCAGGCAGCGCGGTGGTCACCCAAAGGGTCGACGGGACGGCGGCAGCGACAGGCTGCAGCGTCGAGTGGCAAAGGCAAGCGAAGCCGGCGGAACAACAAAGCTCGGAAAACAGGCCATTCCAAAGTGAGCTCATTACAGGAAGGCAAGGCAGTGAGAACCCTTGAAGCGAACGGTCCGCGCTGAGACTCCAGCAGGGCAAGGGAAGGAGGGTCGCGCATTGCGCGCAAGCGGTCGACAGCACGGGAGGCGGGCCGCTGCCAGTCCCCAGTAGTGTCGACAGGCTCGTCAGGGTCTGCTGGGACCACGGGGGGTTGCGGGGGCAAGTCGCTCTTTGTTTTCTATACATGTTCATTTCCTCTCGTCAACACCACAGCATGCACACAAGCAGGAATCATCCCTTTTTCACGGTAAAATTCCTTTCTGCGCCTTTTTCCGCAGGTGGTCACAGGCCCGCGAAGTACCACTCGGCGCAGGCTGTGGCAGAGCGCGGCGTCGAACCCGTCGCGCAGGGAGCGCCGCGAGCTCCGGCACACGCGGGTCCTTTGAGTCGCACCCCAGCTGCGCGTGCAGTACCGCGGCCGCCCTCCGCAATACGCCTCCCAGCTCTGCAAAAGGGAGGCCTGTTCTCGTGCAAACATGCCACGCTGCCCGTGCCACATCCGTGAGAGTACTCGCTCCAGCATGCACCAGCGGAACGCATAGCCACGAAAGGCCTCCAGCCGGGAGAAGACGCACGTGTGCCAAGGCATGCAAGGCTCGCTCATGACGTTGTGCAACGATGTGCAACGTCTTGCGTAGCGGGCGGCCATGGGTGGTCCGTTTATGTCCGCTTCACCCACGCGCATGGGTGCGGACTTCGCACGACCCATGCGGAGCGGTGGACCTGTGTGCAGTTCTAAGATACATTTTGCCAGTGTGTCTGTGGGCGTCGCCAACAAACGAAATGCTGGAGCAGCTGCGCAGCTGAGCAGGCAAAACAGGCATCAATGGGTCGGTTTACTCGTGGCTGCACTTCGTCTAGGCCTTCGTCGCGAGGAGGCCGGCCAGAGCGGGTCGGTCTGGCAAGTGTGCGAGGTCGGCTGGATCGTGCCCGGGATTTTGGACGCTGGCGTGGTGCTTGGTAGCGTTTGGCTCCGAAGTTGGGTCCCGCTGGACACCTGAAGCCACCAACTTCGTTCGCTTGCTTGCGCATGCCCGCGCTGCGAGTGCGCCTGCCATCCTTCGG